ATATTCTCATACCTTATCAAACTTTTTATGAATACTTCACATTATTTACATTGAATTATGTTCAGAAGTTATGACATTCAGTTATAGTCTTGAAAGGTAGTCGACTTTATAAGAAAATATTGACTGCTCATTGCCAAAGCTGCCAACTTGGATCAAACCATGCCATTTGTGGCACTTAATTTTTCAATCTGGCACAAAGTTCCAAAATGGCACTTTTGAAAGATAGTACTATTTGAATACATTTTTGTGAAATCCTTTGCGTGTACTTCTTTTTCTCAACTTTTTTGGCACTTTTATTTTTCTATTTACCGCATTTTGGCACTTTTTTATCGTCAATATGGCTCTTCATAGCTAAGCATAGTTGGCCGCCCTGCTCATTGCACAGTAAGTCCCAAACTCGTTGATCTACTGGCGTCGATTGTGTAAAAACGGCAGCTCATCTTCCTGGCCTTAAGAAGTAATTTAAAGCTATTGATATATGAGACAAGACCATATGTGAAGGGTTTAAAACTATTATGGAATCGTTTGAATGCATTTTAGTGGCCTCTATTCTCAATTGGTGGCCGGAGTCAAAATTTACAAGCCAAAGATGTTACGATTGACGTAGAAGCAGTCAACATAAGGTGTTTATTTGACGATCCTAAAGATTTGGGAAATCAGTAGTCGTTGATTCTGCAGGAATGCAAAACGATAACTCGAAATATCGGCTCTTCAGATATGTTACAAGACAAACGGAGTAGAACAAGAAAACTCAGTGACAAATTACTTCAAGAATCCATGGATTCGAATTCCTTTGGACTTATTGGGAACATGACGATACGATTTGATGCTGGCCAGAATCTTGAATAAAAATCTTATTTTTTATAAATACCTTGAACGAAGAAACTCTGCGAAATCAAACTGCATCCTTTTGTGAAACTAACGATGTCTTACTTATCGCTTTGATTGATGAAATTATACCTTTAAAGACAATGAGCAAATCTAGGATCCCAACATTTGCCTCCGTTCCGACTTTTAAACAAGTTAAACCAGGTATTCCCTAATATCTGCTCTTCACTCCGATTCTTCCGTACTGTTCCAGCGACTGCTTTTTCGAAAAAGAAATTAAGCCCGAAGGCGTTATTGCCTTTTGCTGGTGGCCATTATTTCCCTTTCGATATGGCAATAACGCTAAAAAATGAAATAAAGCCCGCGGGCGTTATTTCATCATTATTGTGGCTCTTGTCTACACTTTAGAATATGTACATCCAAAACCCCCTGTTCTAAATAGAAACTAACTAATATGATAACATTAAACTAAATATTTGTTTTCCTTTATTATACGAACAAATTGAAATTAACAAATTTCAATGCATATATTTAATACATATGTATCGAGGGATTATATTCAATACCCTCTATCTGCAATTTTGATGAAAATGAGTTTTTGATGGTAACGTGAGCTCTTATTTATCCTTCAGCCATGACAATAATGTCAAACTTAAAATTTTGCTTTTATGGTATTATATTCTCATTTTTAAAATTCCACTATCTGCAATAACATTTTGTTACAAGGGCAAAATCCTCTATCTACACAATTTTGCTGGGAAATCGTTTTCATTAGCATTTTTTGTGGCAGGTCAAATAAAGACTGTGTAAGTTACATGTATGTATTTATGTATATGTTGCGGTAAAATCCGATCTTAGGTCAACCGAAACCAAATTGACTGACTGATGAGAGTTACAAAAATAGTTTATTCTAAGATCGGGTTTGGCCGGTAGCTTACATCTTATCTTACTAATATTATAAATGTGAAAGTTTGTATGTTTGGATGTTTGGGAAATCATCACACGGAAACGACTAAACGGATTTGCATGAAATTTTGTACGCAGATAGCTTATGGGCCAGATTGGTAAATAGGCAATTTTTTTAGAGTTGCCACCTGTTAAAAAAGTTTAATTTATTTAATATGCGGGAACGACTGAATAGATTTGCATGAAAATTTGCACACAGATAGCTTATGATCTACAGTGGAAAATAGGTAACTTTTCTTAAGAGTTGCCACCTTTTAAAAAAGTTTCATTATAG